TAGCAAAAAAGGATATCGTTGAGCCTAACGGTTACGTCGAGACGGTTGTTAAGCTCTAAGACCCCCATTATTATCCTAAATACGTTAAGGCAACACTGCCTCGGGAAGAGTCTGAAATGAGCGAGGAACTGGAGGAGTAAAGGAGGCAGGGGGAACCTAATTCCACCCTCTATGATTGCCTTGGTGAAAAATGACATCTCATTCTCGACCTTGATAATACGGTTGTGCAAAACTGGGTCGTACTCATCTATACCTACGTTTGGGGGAATACGGTATCGAGCCCTAAACCTATTATTCTGCTCCTCTCCCTTCACTTTGTACTTCCCGGGCCTCGAGGAACTGGTCTGGGAATCCTCGGTGACAGGCCAACGTCGGGGTATCTCTAAAGAAGACAAAAACTAAAGAAGAATGACAGTTTTTTTTACGAAGATCCCCTAGGGGTTTCCTGAAGGTGGGTCACAGAACGACAAATCAGAAACACCTTCGGTTATCGAAGAATCAAAAAACAAAAAAAAAGAAAGAAAGAAGAGAAGAAGAGACAGAAGGGCGGAGAGAAGGAAAATACAAGGACTCACTAGAACTTGAACGAAGGTTTTCTTCAAAACTTTGAGTGGTTCTTTCCTCTAGGAGGTTCAGAAGTAAGGATAGGTCTGTTGACCTTAAGACTCCGGTGAAGATTGGTTTGTAGACAACGTAAGGAAGTGGGTCTCCTACGAGATTTCAGACGAGGGATCTCTAAAGAGTTCGAAATGGCGAAGTGTGAGAAGGAAAGAGAGAACCCATTTATATAGTACCCATCCCCATCATTGGGCACAAAGCACGAAGAGGCGCATTTAATGCGCACAACCTCCTAAGCGGAGGAAAGCGGCTAGAGGCAATGATGAAGTGGTTGGGGTAGTTGCAGAACCCTTCGTCTCCTTACGACGCGTGTCCTCGGCGTCAGAAGATCGAAGGCTGGGGGTAGTTGATGGGACATTTTTTGGACACTCTAAGATAACGACACATGTACTCGGTGTCAAGAAATACTCTCTGCCGTGATCACGACACGTGCTCGTCGGATCATGATCCCTCTTCCCCCGAGATGGTACTATGCATAAGGATCTATGACGCCGGTATGCACGAGAGACACGTATTCCTCGATCGATTGGGTGGGTACATTGGCCCCTAACCATACTAGGCCCTCGGCACCGATGTGTACCCACTACATCGACGTTCCTGTTCCTGCAGGACTATTGATAGACAGGTCATCAGCCTGAGCTAGGCTAGATTAGTCGTCATAACGTAGTCTTACCTAGATGGTATCAGGACGCACAGGAAAGCAGAAGACTCAACCAAAGGGGAGCTGGCACGTGGCGTACTATGTCAGATTAGAGGCAAAAAGACCAGAATGCCCTAGCTGACACACGACTTGGAAAAGCTAGTATTTAATGCACATTTTCCTTGATGAGACAACATTTAATGCGTGAAGACCCGGAAGTAAAAGACAATGAATGTTCCTGTGACCGAGCATTTAATATATCCTTGCCAAGTGAAGGTCATTAAATGCTCAACAGACCGAGGGTGATGCATTGGTTGCTCGGGGGTCCCGAGCAGTTAAGGAAGGTGTCATTTCTCCTAAAAATCAGTGCGCACGTTACCCACCTCTAATGATCACCTACTGGCCATACTGACAGCAATAATGAATTTTTAAGGTATAAATACTCCTCACAAAACGCATGATGAGGTACGCAATAAACCCTCTCTCAACCTTCATATAGTGTTCTCTTCTTCCCTCTCTCAAAAAACTGACTTGATTGTCGGAGGGGATACGCCGAAAAACACTCCGACGCCCTTCTAACCTATTTTTCTTTGTTCCAGAAACCCCCTTCAGTTTTCCTGTTCAACTAGCAAACTCAACCACTCAATTTCGGATACGTGTTTACCACGGGAGAGATCTGTTCTCACCACGGGAGAGATCTGTTCTCGTGTTTATATTGTGCAAGATCCTGCACGCACAGTTACCATCTTTGTGTGTTTACTGTTTGAGAAGTGCTTCAGAGAAACTTGAGGAACAAACAGACCATGAAAGACGAAGAGAAGAACAATAGAAATTAAATATGGCGAAGAAGAAAACAGTTACTGTTGTTCACCTACAATTGATGACCGGACGTAGCCATTCTTTATGCCTGCCGCTACAAATCAAGATTCAGGAGCTCCAAGGTAGGTTATGGCGATCCTCTTTTCCTGAAGGGACTGAGAATCTGAGACAATTCAATAACTGAAAAGAAATGATTTTGTATTATAATTGATTTTTATAGTGTGTAAGTCGTGTTTAGTCAAGTTAGTTCACATGTGTTTAACTTGCTATTGTTACACCATATCCATATTAGACTATAACATCACTTAATATTTAAAATTGAATACTTTGTTGTGCGAAGAGCTGTTTCAATCGCACATAACGAAGGTTACAGAGAAGTTATCATTGAATCCGCCTCGAAGGTCCTGGTTCATTCCCTTAATCAAGAATCAACAGCAACCATAAGAGAAATTGAAGCCATTCAACAGGATATATGGCACTATGTGAAAGGCATTACTAAAGTCGTCTTCAAACACACAAGGAGATCCTGTAACTCAGCGGCACATACTCTGGCCAAGTTCTCTAGGCAAGGCACACTGCCTTTCAACTGGCTACACTCTCCCCCATGGCAGCTGGCGCAGATCCTCCTCAAAGAAGCTAGAATAGGTATTGGGAAAAGTTATAATGTAAAGCTTTGTTCCTTTTATTTTAATGAAAATTATACTTTGACCAAAAAAAAAATACTTAATAAATTAAACCTATTTGGTAAACTAAAATTCATAACACTTAATACTTTAAATACTTTTTAAAAATAAGTTAAAATTTTAAGTAGCAAGTCACCTACTTATCACTTAATATTAAAAATATTACTAAGAATTTCATAAATTCTTCATAATATACAAATATATTCTCAATGAATTTTACAATTTTTACTTTTCAATACCCACCATCCACAATCACCACCATTGTGTTGTCGTCGCCGTCACACTATCGCCACCACTATCGTCACTGTTACCACCACTATTATCATCACAATTGTATCATTATTGCCACTGTCATTACCATTGTGTCACTTAGGGGTGTCAAACATATTGAGTTAAACAGTTACGTATCAAGTTAAACAGATGGCGAGTGAAAAATATATAAACTCATACACGACACGTTTAATAACGGTTAAAAAATCTTAACACAAACACGACTCGTTTAATAAACGGATAACACAACACGACTCGTTTAACCCGTTTAATTTTAAATAAATTATATTAACAAATTTTAATACTCCAGTGTTTTTTATTGTCAATTGCACTTACCTAAAAAAAGATGAATTTTTAAGAAAATCTCATAAAAATAAGACTTGAAGGTTTAAAAAAAAAAAACAAAAGGTCATTGCTTTTTATAAACAACTCAACCCTCCTCATCTCCCCACATTTTTCAATATAGGACAAAAATAAAAGGCGTTGGTTTCCCTTTGTTTTTGAAATGATCCTCATCTCCTCTCTTCTGTCTTTAAACTCCTATTTTACTTCTTTTTTTCTTGCTAATTTTTTTAAATAATTATTAATTTTTTATTATATTAATTTTATTTAAACATGTAAACGTGTAATAAATGGTTTGACAGGTCTCACCCGAACACGACCCGTTTATTAAACGTATTTGGCGTGTCAACCCATTTATCAGTCAAACCCGTTTAATTCGTGTCAGTTAATCGTATCGTGTCGAATTTTGACATCCCTAGTGTCACTATCACCACTACCACTGCCACCATCATTGTGATAGTGGTGGTAGGACTAAAGAGCAAAATTATAAAAAAAATAAGTTTTAGATTTTAATTCTTTATATTTAAGAAACAGTTTGATTAAATTTAATATTTAAATATCAGTGAATGTCAAATAATTTATAAATTAAAAAATTCAGTATTTAACAATTAAAATTAAAATTTTAATTTTTAGTATTCAGTTACTTAAAGTTACGAAGTTTTGGTGTTAAATTTTGAAGCTGTAAATCATAAGGTGTCAAAATTTACTCATCATGTATATTTAATTTTGTGTTATAATTGATTTTTATAATGTCTAAGTCGAGTTTAGTCGAATTAATATGTCCTATTTAGTCAAGTTAGTTCGCATGTGTTTAACTTGCTAATGCCCCACCATAGCATATTGGACCAGAATAATAACCAGCTCTTACTTGGATTCAATAGTAAAATAATACACATTAATTTTTTAATATTTAAATAAGAACTCGGGTTGAACCCAATTTTTTGTTATACGGTCCGCGTTAAAGTTGAACTCCTGAATTTGAAATTTTAACTTGAGCGTAGTTTGAATTCAATTTGAATTAAAAAAAATTTGCTCAAGCCTAACCTAAATTTTAAAAAATTCAACCCAAATACTAATTTTTTCGAACTAGATTCGAGTTTGCTTGCAGCCCCACTAGTGTCACATATTAAATCAAAATTTTACATGGCAATGGAATTGCTCCAAAAGGGTGAACCCCAACACTACGTTGTTGCCAAATGATTCCCCAGCCAGGAGCAACACCAAAATCTCCCTCAACCATAAACAGCAATCCAGCATATAGCCCATACAATACTCTCCCTAGCTGCCAGACAACCAACCTCTCTCTCTCCCCTCCAAAGATGTAGCTAAAACTAGAGGAAGAGAATGGTGCTGAATAGGTCTTACTATTTTCTGTTTCTATTATAAGACATTTGTTGGCAGTCTCAAACATGGTTTTCTTCTTCAGTCTTTCCATTTTTCATTCATCACCTCCTTCGCCGTGTGCTCTCACACGGCATTGGCTGGTGAACATTTTCTCCATCACATCATCAGCTCTCCTCGACCCTTACGCGCCTTCCCTCTCTCTCTCTCTCTCCTCTTCTTGTCCGCCATTATCAAATTCAAAACCTTCCTTCATAACCAAACTCTCATAAATATTGCTTTCGCACATGAAAACAACCAGTACAGCCATGAGAATACCATGGAAGGTGGTATCTTGCATTGTATTAGTGTTGTTTTGCTTTAACGTTCAAACATGCAAGGCTCAGGATTACGAGGATAGCACCACGCCGGCGGCGCCACCGCCGGAACAAGAAACCTGTGACGGTATCTTCGTCTCGTACACCTTTTTAGAGAGAGAAAAAGAATTCCCGCACGTCAAGAACGCGTCTGCGCAATCATGGGCGTTCAGCTCCATGGCGACGGTGTTGAACGCCGGAGCTTATGAGCTGAAGTCATGGCAGATATACGTAGGGTTTCAGCACAATGAGATATTGGTGTCTGCCGACGGGGCGGTCATTGTTGGAGGCGATGATCTTCCGGCTCCTGTCGGGAATGGAACCCACCTTGCCGGGTATCCACAGTCGGATTTGAAGACGGCCATTGATACGGCTGGTGATGTGAATCAAATGCAGGTGCAGGTGAAAATGAAGGGGACGCAGTTTGGGGTGAAGCCGCCCGGCATTCCGATGCCAAAGACGATAAAGCTTGTTAATGAAGGGTATAAGTGTCCAGCAACAAAACGTCACGGTATGTATTAATTGTTGGATTAACATGTTTCGTGCATGTAAAGTTAGAATTAAAGTGACGAGAAAATATTCGGTGCTCGTCACCGATCAATAGATGTCACCTCATATTCTGTCATCGGCGGGTATCACCCGTGATTGATAGTTGGTACTCATCACCAATTAAAAGATGTTATCTCAATATAGGTTGTCCTTCAATTTTTCTCTCTTCACTGCCTACTTTGGGGTGACATCCGTTGATTGTGATGAGTACCAGTTGTCATTGACTACCTGGTACCCGATAAGCACCAAATAATTTTTCTAAAGTGACTATTATCATAATAAAATATGTGTGGAGGTAGTAATCTCATGCTTCCAAGGATTATAATCATCGATAAATAATGTGACGATAGATCATATATATTGAGTGTTTAAATCGTATAAGAAGTATTATTTGGACGAGATCAACTTGATTATGATCCAAATATGTTAAACTTAAACCTATAATTAATCAAAAGTATCTTTAAGAAGCATAAGTCTAACAAAATTGTCGTGCCTCCCTTTCTGAGTTTCAAGATTATCGATGAGCTATCTACTTTTTCAAAAATACAGATGTATTTTGAAGGGATCCATAGATTAGCATTGTGTTTTTTTTTGCAGCAAGCTACATGTACGTCTGCTGTGTAAGGAATCCAAAGTACAAACCCAAAGTCATCAAAACAAAGTTCCTGCCACGCCAGTATGGCGATCTCTCTTTCACATACGATGTTCTTCAAGCTTATGAAGGCAAGTATCAAGCCCAAGTCACCATAGACAACATCAACCCCTTAGGTCGCCTTGATCACTGGAACTTGACATGGGAGTGGATGAGAAATGAATTCATCAACACCATGAAAGGAGCTTACACCCACAAAAAAGACCCTTCTGAATGTCTCTACGGCCCGGCCGGACAGTACTACCAGGACTTTGATTTCTCTACTGTCATGAACTGTGAGAAAAGGCCGATCATCTCCGACCTGCCGGCCGAGAGAAAAGATGATGAAAAGGTTGGGAAGTTGCCTTATTGTTGCAGGAATGGGACTCTTTTACCAACCACCATGAATGAGACCAAGGCGAGATCAATATTTCAGTTGGAGGTGTTTAAACTTCCACCTGATATGAATAGAACTGCTCTTTACCCACCTCAGAACTGGAAAATCAATGGTGTTCTTAATCCGAATTACAAATGTGGTGCTCCTATAAGGGTTGATCCTACTGAATTTCCAGACCCAAGTGGGCTTGCTTCGACAAGTAATGCCATTGCAAGTTGGCAAGTGACCTGCAACATTACTCGTCCTAAGGCCAAACAGGCAAGATGCTGTGTCTCCTTCTCGGCTTACTACGCTGCGTCTGTCGTGCCTTGCCCAACTTGTGCTTGTGGATGTGAAAACACTGAACATTGTAACCCGAACGCGCGGGCAATGCCTCTCCCATCGGAGGCTCTTCTCGTGCCTTTCGCCAACAGAACCGAGAAGGCCAAGGCCTGGGCTAAGATCAAGCACCATGAAGTTCCTAATCCTTTGCCTTGTCCGGACAATTGTGGGGTTAGCATCAATTGGCACGTTGACACTGATTACAAAACAGGGTGGACAGCTCGAATCACCCTCTTCAACTGGGACGATTTCGCTTTTGAAGATTGGTTCACAGCAATTCAGATGAAGAAAGCTTATCCTGGTTATGAAAATGTCTACTCATTCAATGGCACAAAGCTTCCTCAACTCAATAACACCATTTTCATGCAAGGTTTGCCTGGTTTGAATTTCTTGGTGGGAGAGGTAAATGGGACTCATCCTGACACTGATCCAAGAGTGCCTGGAAAGCAACAATCAGTGATTTCGTTCCTGAAGAAACACACCCCTGGAATTAATGTAGCACAAGGTGATGGATTTCCAACAAAAGTGATCTTCAATGGCGAAGAGTGTGCTCTTCCCACAGAGTTTCCGAAAAGAAGTGGAGGGCATCGTTCTCGTGTCGGGTTCTTGCCAGCGCTTCTCCTTGCAATCCTGAGTTTTGTGCTAATGGCAGATTTCTTCCATTGACAACCATTGAGGGTTATTCACTGCAATTCTGCTCCTCCTCGAGGGTACCAAGCTTTCATGAGTGTTTATATTGTCGTGATCAAGCATTCAGCATAGTTTCAATTAGTTCAGAAATGGAAATGTTTTGGGAATACAATGAAAATAGAAAAAAAAAATTGAATTTTCTATAACAAAACTTTTCAGAACATTGACTAAAACATTCCAAAACACTGAAATTCTAATTTTCTATCAATAATTCGTTTCAGTTTTCATTAAAGCCGAGCTATTTAGCTTGTTTCGGTGAAAACAAAATGAAATTCTGTTCTTTATGATTTTGGCTAAGCAATATGATGACTGATGAGGCCTTGTTTTACTCATTTTTTTGTTGTATCTCAGTTGTAAAGACAATGCTATGAACTTGGGCGGATGGGGAGGATGAGAACAAAGGGACCAAGGTTTTAGACACTGTCCTTCTCCAAGAAGCAGAGATGAGGAGATTGTAACAAGTTGAGACAAGACATTATGATTGTTTGTATGAATAATTAATTCACTTGTAGTTGTTGTTATACAAATGACCATCAATTTCTATAGATATTTTCTTAGGTGGTTGAAAAATTTTAACTGAGTTATGTCTTTGCACTTTTTGGTTGTACAAATTTTAGTTTGTGCACAGAATTTTATTTTGAGTTAGTCCATACAAAACCTGTACTACCTGTACTTTTTTTTTTTTTTTTATCATTACCCTGTTTCTTTTTTTAAATTATATTGATAGTTAGACTCAATTCACTAAAATAATTTGTCATCCCAATCTATTCATCTGGTTGGATTGCTAGTGAAGAACATCCTATAAAAATTCTGTTTCATGCTTTCAGAAGAGGCCTCTTTGGCATTCAAATGAAACAGAGCACTGGCATTTTTTCTCTGGACTTGGTTTCTGTTTCTTCTAACCTAGTGAAAAATTGAAAATATAGTTTCATGGACCTTGAGTTGTAGCTCTAAAAAAGAAAAACATAAAAAAAAAAAAAAAACAGAAGCCCATCTTTCAAGGTTTTATAATCTTACACAATTACTTTTCTTTGGGAGGAATAGCTGCAATCCCAGATAGAGAGTGTCATATCAAATTCTTAATGGGAGAGATGTCGATTTTGAGAGAATTTGAATCCTATCAATTTCAAATATTGTCAATAATGGTGGTTTTACTGCTTGACAATGCACCTGATAGGAGCTAAATGATTATTAAACTTTATCCGTTGTGGAAAAAAAAACCAAAATTGAGAGGCTGCGTAGCCACATCACCATGGATGTTTCGATGACAAAAGAATCATGTTATTTTGGCTCTGTTTATCTGCTTAGTGGTCTCTCTTTTCCCAAATTCAAAGGGTCCCGATCATTGCCCGCAGGGTAAGGTGTAGTCGGTGTTCGTCAAGAAAGTCTTTGAAGGCTCTCAACCTTATTGATGAGGTAATGAAATGTTCTCTGATACAATGGTATGGTTTTAGTACTCGTTACGTTTGCAACAGCTAACTTATGAACTGTCAAGATGAGCTTGCTTATGAACTGTCAAGATGAAGTAGATGTTCTTAGACATCTTAGTAATAGAGAAACAAAATTGATTTATTGTCATAATAAACCTTGAACAACTCTTTTTCTTCCCCTGTTTCTTCATAGAACAGTTACAAAACAACTTCATACAATGCCTTTCAAAGAATGTTTTGCATATACAATACTGAAAATTGATTGCACATACAACACATGCCTCCCACTGGTATTTGCTGGTTGGAGAGAGAGAATACGAAAATTTCCAGATCACATTTTGTATTAAAGTATATGAAGGTCTCTTGAAAAATCAAGTAGCAGTGTCCCAAAGCATCTCATTGTTCCTTGACTGCGCCAAAATTTCATTTACTTTTCTCCAGAGACCAATAGTTTGTTTCAATGTCATGCCTGCGGTAACATTGTGAAGTTCTCGTTATAGACAAGAAACATAGCAAAAAAGTTACAAAAGGAAAAAAGAAGTTTAGACACAAAAGCCACTAGAACTGACTGATAACTGACAATTTCAATTGGTCTGACTGCTTCAACTTGTGGCAATGTTTCATACATGGAATACTTACAGAAACAAACATTTCCACTTTTAGTCTGTAAGCCTTCTATATTTATGACAAGTAGAAAAGGTCTGGTCAATTGTTTGCGTAAACAACTCTACACATAATGTAGTAAACACTGGTGAACGAGTAAGCAACAAAATGGTATACAGTTCACATCAAAATGCAATTTCATTTCAGAAATAACAACTGGAATTCTACATTCCCAAGTGGGCTTATCAGAAAAGTACCTTTTCATATGGTGTTTGTATCTACAAATAAAATGTAGAGACATTGGCAATATAGTCCAAAAGAAAAAGGCTTCTTCGGGTTGCAACTACCTCCTTGGTGGACATAACTAATACAAAACCAAACCCAACTAAACCAAGCTTTATGTCTCAATCATTTGGAGTCTGTTATATGAGTCCATCTTCGCCATTCATTTCGATCATGCGCTACACGCTCATTTAGGTCAAGTATTTTCATATCTTGGAGGGCATAACTAATGACAAACTATAAAAGATAAGAGGGTGCCGGGGAATAAAATTCAAATGATCTGTACTTATGTATCATCTTGCAGTTTGAGCATGTTTTTATTTTCTTCTTAGATACGAACTCTTTAAGCTTTATCACTCTATCAACAATTATTCCCTTACTGTACCTTGTTATGTTTTGCTTTTCATTTTCACTTGCACAAAATACTAAATGCAGAACATTTTAAAATGCACCACAAAACTCAAATCAATAAATCTACCTTTTTTAGATACTTCTTGTGAAGTTTCATTGCCCCACGGCAAGCTTTCCTGGCATCTAGGTTTCCGGTTATGTCATTCAATATCTGAAACATTTGAGAGAAAAATCTGAATGAGATGAGGGACAGAAAAAGCTATATATGCTGTTGGATTAACTGAAAAACGACATTCTATATATTTCGTACTTATTTCAATTGGAAAAACCTTGCATCATGGCTTTTGAAGCCATTAGCATCACAATGGAAAAAGTTAGTCATGCAATGCAACAATACTTCTAATAGTGTTTATCAACTGGAAGAAGATTTAACACTATTCCAAAAACTAAAGAAAAGATGTGGATCAAAGGCGGTAGATGAAGATCACATGCAGCTGCAAGTCTACATATTTTCCTTATTATTTCATCCCATGTGTTTTCTGCCTAACGGATGCATTGATCTAGCAGAGAATTAACTCTCAAATTGGAGGCTAATACAGCATTCACATTTATGATCCCATCAAGCTGACCTTGACAACATCGTCCAGTCCCCGAGCTTCTGTCAGTAACTTTGAGCTTCTATTTTCGAGGACACTGGCCACAAGAAAAACTGATATCGGGAGATGGGCTTGAGAATTGACTCCATTTTTCCTGTTGTCCCTCTCATACTTCCCAAATTGGCGCATTGACTTTGGTTTTCCTTTAGAACCCTTATGTTTTTCGCTAGCTGATTTAGAGTCCTCATACACAGAAAACAAGTAGGGGTCATACTCCAGAGCCCACATCATCTGTTTTGAAGTTTAACAACCAGACAAATATTAGCAAGAAAACCTAACAGAACAGAAGAATATTAAAAGCAAGTACACTAGTCTGATGACAAAAGTTCAATATATAAACACATGCATGGAGGGGGGAAGAAGTAAAAGTGATAAAAGTAGTTATTGCCCAATCTATCCAACAAAATAGGGAACTATTGGAAAAATGCCAGCTGCCAGATGGTGTGCCTGTAAAGCTTTGAATAAGTTCACACCCCCCCAGACATGAGTTCCAAGTTTCCACTGAAGATAATGGTAAAGCAGCATCAACGCATCCAACTACTCAACTCAATAAAGTCTTGTCCCAACATTTTTGGGTTGGCTACATGAATCATGTTTCGCCATTGTGCTCTATTAAGGGTGTCATGCCATAAATTATCATATCTTTATTTACTATTTCATTAAAAATTAATTTTGGCTTTCCTCTACCCCTACACATACCGTCAATAGCAATCATCTCACTCTTTCTCACCCCTAATTATCTCATATATGTGCTACCTCTACTTTTTCACAAATATAACGTTACTAATTCTATCCTTTTCAGATATACTACACATCAGTCATAACATTCTCATCAAAGCATCCAAATGTGAGTCAGTAATTGGAAGAAAACTGCCAATAATTTTTCCAACTAGTTAACATAAACTGCAGACAAGATTTTAGATGGATTATTTTTTGGCCAAATAAAGAATCAAATTTACTTTATTACTTGTTCAAAAATTTTCCTAGATTAGGGCTTCCTTCTGCACCTACTCATCAGAGAAAGATCTATAATTTCTTTCTAAGTGTTTTGGGTTTATTATCTTACTGTACTTTATTCTATTCTGTTTTTTTTTTGTTTGGGGGAGTGTGGGGGTTGAAATATCTCCCCAAACTCCAGTTAGGAAGAGACTGCTTTCGTGACTCGAACATACGATGCCTACATGACATTGGAACAACCTTACAGCAATGCCAAAAGTCATATTCTAATCCCCTAGATAAATAACTAATGGCTGATATCTTAAATTAGAACTGATTGGAGTATTGAACTTATACCAGGTTTACAAGTCAAATGGGTATGAGTGAGATTTGGGGCAGATAAAATACGGAAGGAGCTAAAATTCCGGAGAAAATTAACAATAGGTAGGTAGGGTTTTGTGACAGTTTGAGGGAGATTGGAAAGATTATGGGATTTTGAGAAGTTAGTGGGTCACAGTAAGTAAATAAAATGGCTGAGGCCAAATGTATTTAATTCAAGGGCCTAAAGGTAAGTTGCATTATAGAAATGCATGATTATCTGAATAGTCTCACACACACCAAAGCGATAAGAAAGCACTACTTGGACATTTGAAGTTCCACCAGAGAGCACGGTGGGCAGGTACCGCAGCTCTGAACTTGCAGGTGTAATGCATCTTAGAATCATTAACGTTGTTGCTCAACATGCATATATGATGTATGCACGTGATAAAGACATCTAAGGCAGGGAACTAAACCAATAAAGAAGCATGATAAGCCCATTACTTAAAATTGGTTCCATCAATTCCAGGCACTGGGAGGCTTGGACTAGTATCTGCATTCTGAATTTGTTGGCATCTTTCAAGAAATGGATACCCTCAGACTCAAGTAGCATTTTCATGCCAGCAACATGGGTTTTCTCCATTGCATAAAGCACTGGACAGTTGTAAATCAAGAAAGATATATACTAAAACATTAGTCGGGCAGCCTTGATTAACAAATTAACGTTGTAGCCCACTAGTTGTAAAGACATTTTGCAGAAGATAGTCTCAATTTTTTCGATCTAATAAATTTTTGTGTGGCTTGCCTCCATTTCAGTAATGGTAATTGTGCAGAACAATCAAGTCTATGTTGGGCAGCCTCAATTAATAAATCAACTTATGTCATACACTTTCAATTGAACCCAAAGAGTTGGGCAAAAGGCTTTGTTGAGTTGAGGATGCCACACTTTGATTGCATTTCATAAGTTCTAAAATACTTTGCAAAAGATTAACCCATGTGGTTTGCTTAGAATTGTGTTCTGCATTGCAGGCTTTTTTTTTCATCTCGCATGCATTTTATGATAATTTTTATTTTGCAAGGCACAGGCACTTTAACCCTAAAACATCACCAAAGCATTCACAATATCCATGTCCCAATAATCCGAACTAAAAGACAAGTAGGCCGCATTTACTGCTTATAATGACCAAAGGAAGCAGAAATGTTTATGTCCTACAATTGAATGCATAAAGCAGGATTTTGATCACATTATGGATGTAAGTCAAAGTTTGTTGACAAGTGATATATGAACATGAAATCCCAAAGAAGTTGACTTATGACAGAAAAGACACCTTTCAAATTTTTGTGAGAAAAAAGAAAAGAAAGGAGGTGAAAATTTCTGACAAAACTGTAGTTTAACTATTGTGGTATTGTTCAAAGTCAAGCAGGAAATATGCGAACACATCGCTTTTAATACATGTGATTCAAGTGTTTAAAGCTGTAAGAGCAATTAAATCATACCTCCCAAAGGTACAATGAGTCGCCAAAAGAGAATTCTCGACGAAACAAAACCATAAGCATCCGGAAAGCAAATAGATAGTTACCTCCACCTAGGGTCTCTGTGTTCAAATATCGGAAGACATTTCATTGTTACTTATTTTATTTTAAATACTGTAAGAACGAGAACCCGTGCAAAAATAAAAGAACTGATTATGCATTACTTGTTGAGTTATTCTATCATGAAGATGTTGAAATTGTACTGCTATTACTACAATGGCTGAAACAAATGAAGGATTTGTTTCAAAACCTTTAAAGGCAAACAACTGCAGATTTGTTACATCTAGGTGATGTAGACACATTACAATGGGAAAAGCAATTACAAGGAGTGCAAAAAAGGGATTCAACTTGAAAATCTAGTTTTCATAGGTCCCAATTCAGTTTCATAGTTGTGCTAAACAGAACTGATGAAAAAGTGGTTCAGTTGTGGTTGCAAATTAAGGAGCCTGCGAACAAACATACCGACTTAAGGCATCTGTGGTATACGAGAAGACATGCATCCCACAAGGATAAAGACAAGAAAGCACCTCCTTTTGGTTCCCTTTACAAAAGAACCTCCACTGCAGCATACACAAACTCACACAAATTTCCCATCAGTGGCCTTTACAGATGGTTAAGGGGATTCAATTGAAATTGGCCTGGGTCGGTTCAGTTCTAGGTTGATGCTCAACCCAAACAAAACCGATCCATGTGCCTTCAGCCATCCCCTTTTTCAGCGAACTGGTATGCCATGGTGGATAGAAGCTGGGAATTTGTAGTGATCAAGGATCAAAATTTTATTTGAAACGGTCGAAACATTTTCGTTTTCAAGGAGACCGAAAAAAAAAAAAATTCAATATTGTGTGGTGTTACTCGACATTTCAGTACATTTTGACTAATGTTATCGAAATTAACTCCCCAATTTTTTATTTGTTTCCATTTTGTTTCAAAAATATTTCCATGTCCTAGGTAATTGAAACACTCCACTGAAGCGAAATTTTGATCCTTGGTAGTGATTAAATAAGACAAACTTCATCATATGTTTGTGTAAGAGGACAACATAACGTCCAAAAGTCTTACGTCTTATTGGCTTGTCCTTGACCTTTCTACTAAACTTCAGGAGGCCTAGAAATTGGGTATGGGGGCACAAGTTAGCAAAAATCTTTACGAATTGATGCACATCGAATTTGACTTAGTTCCTTCTTTAAGGGCCAAATATTTGGCCCATTCCTTTTAGATGTGTGAGGTTGCTCTCTCTTGTCACGTGTGTGTGTGTGTGTGTGTTTTTTTTTTTTTGGGGGGGGGTTGATTTGTTCATGAGCTCCAGTAGTTAAAATCCTCAGATTTATGGACCATAAGACATTTCTTCTTGCTTTAACAAAGGAAGACACAAGAACTACGAGCACGTGAGTTCTTTTAAAGGTTTGACTCAAAATGACAATTGCAGGGCAATCAAAATTAGAGGAGGACTGGTGCTATGAAAGAAAGGACTACCAATGGCTAAAGAATGGTACCTAGGTGCTGATGAAGTTTGGGATCAATGACTTCAGTAATAGAAGCCAAATTACTTAGCTGCGTCTCCACACCAACAGAGCTCTCAGTGCATCTGAAATTTCCTCGCTTTGAAAGTTCAAACAACAAAAAATATAATTAGTTAAATTTCCCTTACAAGAATACCAAAGATCAAATACAAACACTAGTGATTCAAACAGAAAAATATATAACAATGAGCTGGAAGAATAAAAAGATAATTAAAAAAAGGTTCTCAATCTGTGTTAAGGCAACCGTTTAAAGCATGCTACTGCAAAAGTTCCCTGATATTGTAAAAATCTCATGGAACAAAAAACTTGTTCCTTTCTTCTGGAAATAGACTTTAGACTCACTATCACAAATAAGGGACTACATTGAGACCATGCATTTTCCACCATAACTATTCTGTGCCAGTGAATTGACCGGCAAAATTGAAAAAATGTACAATTGATTATAAAGTCTCTGTTTCCTCTGCATAAACATTATCTGGAATGTGTATATATGATAATCAAATAAACATTTAACTTCTTATTGTCATACTATCGCAACATATTTGTGGCACTCTGCTGTTAGAATAAAAGAAAGGGAAATCCACGTAAAATTTTAATAACATACATTCAGATCCAAGCTTATGTGACAATAAATTTCAATGAAGCACCGAATAGGATATCAAATAGTACTCACATATATAAAAGCAGAAGCAAAGCTACGAGAAAAAAGAGAAATTCAGTTATGACAGGAAACTAAAGAAGCAAGATGATTTGGCAAAATCTTAACACAAGTCGGCAATAGCTATCAAAATCTTAGAACAAGTCTTCTAGGATCACAATACAATTCTCCAGAAACCACGGACTAAAAATGACAAACCCAACCAAACAAACATGCTTTCAAGTTTGCATACAATGATCATAAAACACATTGCACTGTCAAAGCATAGCACTTAAACAGATTTTCAGACCATATTTAATTGTTGTGAATACAAAGATATGTACCAATCTGCGCATCAAATGTTCAAAGCACCAAAAAGCATCTGCCTCATCCTGGAGAAGAATGATCATGGGGGAGCAAAGATCACTCATTCCTGCTCAGCATATTCACAAAGTTCATACTTCAGAACCAGCACCTTGATGCAATTCAGAGATATAAAACTAGTGTTAAACTCTTGCTATGTTGAGACTACAAGCATTATGAACCATTCTGATAATATTATAACCCAGTCATTGAGGGTTTGCTATGTCGGCAAAAAAAAGGAGGAGCAAACAATTAAGAGGAACAAGGTAACATATTCGATCTCTTAGGTCACACAAGACTTAACTCGCAACAAGAGAAATTAGAATAAAAAGGAGGCAAAATCACCTTTTCATATAGGAATTCCACATATTCATCAAATTATTTTGGATATAAAATGTGTTCCTACATTTCCACAAAAATTAGAGAGAATATGTACAATTGTCTTTTGAAGAAAATTTCTCGCATATGTTGGAACAAACTTACTATTACAAGAACTTTCTCAGTGGCAACTTTCCTAAACTAAAAGTTGATGAATAATGCTTCATAACCTCTTCAGCAAGCAGATTCCTTGGAACAAGGGTATGTGATACAACACAAGACCATTGCGACTTACCTATCATATTTATTAAACCATACCAAATAAAGCATTTGTCCCGACTCCCGTATTAATTGGGCTCGGTTACATGAATCTTTTTTCGTCATTCTAATCTATCAGACTTGTATATCTTACCAAATGAAAAGTTATGATATCCTTCTTGAACACCTCACTCCATATTGACTTTGTTCTTCACCTTCCCCTGGCATTTCTATTAATTAGTGCCCATGTCACTCATCCCTGGTTCACTTATTGGTCTTTTGTGCACTTACCAACAATCTTAGTTCGCTTTCCCCCAATTTATAGTCAAATGGTGCTATCCCCATATGAAGTGAGTGGAAGTGGAAAGAAAAAGCTAGGACATTCTGAATTGAATCAATTAATATCAAAATCAATCATTTTTCCTTAATTCTTTTAAGCCATAGTAGTAGATGAAAATCCAATAGATTACCCACCTTGACAATAGCCAACATCTGCATCAAACCAGGCATAGACAGCTAGAACATCCCAAAGCTTCGACAGATTTTCTTGCTTCTCATAGAACTCGAGTGTCCTGTCAGTGCGAACCACATCGAGACCTAGCATAAATATTAATTCAAGGATGCAGCGTTACCAAATATGATCACAAAAGAAAATTAATTGTAGAAGATCCACTATAAGTTAAGACCGCTTGCAAAATAAAAAGATCTCTGTTACAATGTCTAAGAACCAGTGATGATGTTGATGCTATAAACCTCAAATAACAACACAAACCAAAGCATCCATGAAGAAAACCCAACTAGATTATATCATTTATCTACTGATTCAGGTAACACTTTTTTATTTTCTTTTTGCTGTTTATTGTCTTACCACCCAAGTAACAAATCAAATCCATGGCCCTGCCGACTAAATTATGTCACCGTCATGCACACACATGAATAATACAATGTAGAAGATAAACTACAATGGGGCAGTAATCATGATAGAAACAAGTAAATAAACAAACCATTTCAAACAATAGCGTAAACCTGCAAATTAGTAAAGAAAGGGTTGCTTCTGATGGAAAGCATATCCAGCATCAGGGTTCAAGTTTGAAATGACAACACGCAAGGTAAGCAAGTTTAAAGTAAGCAACAGATAAAAAATGGGAGAAGCATACTTAAAAGGTAAAACACAAGGGAAGCAAGAGACAAGAATAAGTTTCCATAAGTGAGGATCACAATTAAATTTCAAATTTTCTTGTTAAGAACAGATGATCCATGAGTTCTTTTGTGAAAGCTCCAAGCAATTTGAAAACTGACGTTAATAATAATAAAGAACAATGTAAATGAAAGCGAATAGGTAGAAACTTTGAGGGAAGCCAATTTTGTCCAGCCATTGATGTTATCAGTTTACACCTGCTGTAACTCTTTACTATACACTTCTCAGTAATATTTTGTGAGATCCACATTTTTCAGAATCCACCATTAGTATTTATTGTGAAGAAAGCTTGCATCCCCCTCACCAACTTTGAAGGTGATACAAGAAAAAGTGCACGATAGAACTTAGAAGGGAAAATAGTGAACACCTACAGATGATAGAATTGATAATTTAACAGCATATATCCCACAAGGAGAGAACATATACAACAATTCAAGGTTGTTAGCTTGAGCATTTTACCATTCCACTAGAAAATGACAAATCTAGACCATACTACCTGTTCATAGAGATGACAATGCTTATAAATTGGAAAATTGTGACTCTAGACTGTTCATGCCCTGAAGATAAACCATGGGGTTATCTTACATCATTGATCAATGCTAGTCAATATAGGTGCAATGATGGATTTATGTTAATCCTTTACATGCTTAATCAAATTGTAAAAAAGAAAAGGCGATGGGAATAGATGGGACTACAGAAAATTGACTGATATGCAAGAGCAAAATTCAAAACAAACGAAGCATGCATCCAGTTATTACATGAAATACCAACCTATTTGATGTAGTGTAAGCTTCCATTGAATTACTTTCTTGTCCTGGGGACCATGACCACTTGGCTCCTTTACCATTTCTGAACCGCCTGAAGCACCTGAAATTGCACTATTGAAGGCATCAGCATATACCACACTGCCAGTTGAAAGCTCAAAGTTGTCAGCATTACCATTTTCTTCAGGAAGTAATCCCAGTTCCTTAAGTACAACAGGATCTTGAACAGGTTCACCATCTTCGGTAACTACAGGTGCGGTTAGAAACCTCCCACTTCCAATAAGGGGAAACATCTGGCGACACTCTTCTTTCAACAACGCATATTTTTCCCTGAAGGCATACACAAACAAATGCCATTTAGTACATTGTTAAGGGAACACAAATTTAGGCTTAGACTGAAAATGAATTGGTTTTTTGGCTTAAAGGAAAAGATGATAATATGTTTTTTCTGGGGGTGGGGAAAGAGGGATTTGTCTCATATAGCGCATCCGAATAACAAACTGTGAGTTATGCAAACTGAATAGGATAAAGGGAAGGAACATGTCCTCTACAACACATAATTTTTGAAATGACAACAACTTAGCAAGAAAATCGAAATCAAAGGAAAAAAGGAAAGACAGAAATTGCAACAACTAAGAATCTCAAAACTTCAATGCCTAGGATGAATATTATCTGCACAAGCTGATATTATCGAGTAGGGTAGCATGTATAAGGCTTCGTTTCATTTCAATAGTATCTACCGCAAGACTTGCGACAGCCTCGTGCCCTCTCCTCCTGATTTGATTGTTTCATATCATAATTTTGATGCCATATGGTATGCGTCTAAACCATTTCACAAGAAATTGCAGCTGTAAATCCCACTAGCATTTGTTCAGAATACATGCAAAGAGTCGGAAACCACAATTTAATCTTTAATTTAGATCTTTGATGCTGGGTCAAAAAATGTTGCCATACAAGAGATTTTGCTAATTTTGAATGGTCAAAGGGGATCCTTTGAACTAGGGAAAAATGTTCTCAAAAGAACCACAACCTGATGGTGATGAGTGATGGCCATCACATAATACAAAACCAAAAACTAATGCTTCCTAATAAAAGAAATGGGGAAATCATACTACCTTCGATGTTGGCGTATCTGCTCTCGTTCATCAAATGTGCTCTTAGGATCATAACAACCAAGTAGAAATTCCCATACTTCTCCTCTAATTGATGGATGGATCCCCTTTTTAAATGATGATAAATGTTAACCCTCAACATGAACATTTTGTTCCAGAGAATAAGTTTTATAAATGAAGAAAAAGGATAAGAGAAAACAAAGAAGCAATAAATAGCAGATTCCACTACATATCCGTGTTAACTGTTAAGTTGACATGAACTTAATATCCCTTTCAAAAACCAGCAATCATAAGAACAAGTGCCTAAGAAACAATGTATTGATTGCACCAGCATACATTAATCCCTAACCAGGCTTCAATAATATAATCTCATCCACGAATCATTACTAAATACAGAAAGCATATGTGTCATTTAAGCCTGGAAAGATGTCTTCTTACTTGGATGTATAACATAACAATGTAATTAGGGATCGAAAAAGGAACATAAGCATTGATTAGTGAAATAAATACACATAAGTGGCCTACAATTACAATTTAGTAACCGTATATCAGAACAAGAATGGTACCACAAAAATATCCCCTAAACAACAAGAAAATTACTCTTCTTTGTATTTGTAGATCAGATATTTGTCAAAGAAAGTGAATTGATCAAAAGAAAAATATATCGAGTTATGCTATTTGAAGTGTAAAGCGGTACAAAAGCAAGAATTACCTATAAGGTAAGTGCATAAAAAAGCACATTTAGACGGTTGGTTTACATGATTAGAAAAGGAAAAATGATAAACAAAGGTATTCCTTTTGTATGAAGATTTGGTATATCCAGGAAAACAGGAAAATTAGGGGGGGAAATTGTGCATGAATGAACATGTGACAGGAGATAAAAGAAAGTTATGCCGATTGAGATGGTTCATATACAGCAAGACCAGAAATATTGTTATGTGAAAGGCCAGTTCTAAAAGGTAGGAAACAAGTCATTCAGCCAGGATCAGGTGAAAAAACATCCCAGCATTTTGCATGTGGAACTATTATCACTTTTTAACCACAGGTGTTTCTTATATTGGCAATTTATTTGATATGCAGCTGATTGGTTTTATTTGTGCTTGATTTCAAGACTGATTCTCTTTATCTTCTGCTTTTCTTGTCTTTACTTGGCCAGTTAATAAGGAACACTTATTAAAAGTTGCTTTCTTTCCCATAAAGCTTATGGTCGTGCTTGGATTTATGCATATAGACAATTCAAACATACTATTGTGTGGTCCGACCGACAAGAGATTTTCCACGACATACATGAAATGTACGAGTCTATAAGATACCTAAGAACCAACAGACATCAGAATTCTCGTCCGAATTGATTTTATCTATGAAGAGCAGCCATAATACCATTGAGACGATGTGATTCATGTGAGTTAAAGCTAATTCATGTAGTAATCCAAAGGATGTTATTAGAAAACATATAGAATCAAAGAAAAGGTAAAGCTCACTTTACAAGCATGCAGTAATCTTCGACCATGACAAAGAAATTTACCCCACGGCGGATCCGACTAAGTGTTCTGGCTATGTCGAGATAACCTTCTGGAGTGAACGCAGTTTGCCATTTCCTTGCACTTAGGGTCTTGCCAGCCTACATATCAAGATTTACAAAAACATTACAAAAAAAAAAAAAAGGCATCAGATGAGTAGTGGATTCCACCATTAGAGTTGGAAGCAAATGTCAAAAAACAAATCATTATGACATACTAAGAGGAGTCCAACGCTACTAATCTTCTAAAACTTGAACATGCATTCAGGAAACATAATTGAGACCAAAACCAAAGGAAAACGATGATCTCTAACACTTTATATACAAAGAAATAGGCGTGGGTTTGAATCCCCCCAAACCCCCACCCACCCAAAAAAAGAAAGAAAAGAAAACTCCATGCATATTTTGATCTCACAGAGACAGGATAAATACTTCAAATGCAAAGCAAACGAAAAATGGCCATTCGATGAAGATTTCACAAACCTTGATTCTGAACTTGGTTTTTGGAACATCGGTGCATTCAGGCCGAACCTGGTAGAAAGAATCAGTAGGTGCTCCAGCGTCCCACCACATTCCAGAATCTCAAAACAAGAAAAAACACTTTTACAAAACACAGGTTACTTCCAATTCTTCAAAATGAAAATCTAAACCAGCACCCACAAGCTGAATCCTCCAACAATCATCAAAACCCAGATCAAATTTTCCAGAACGAATTCCAAAGGGACCTAGATCCTGTGCTGCTGGGCTTTTGAGAGAAAAAAAAAATCATGCGACAAATTCAAAGAAAGAAAACAAAGAATATACGACAAGAAGTGTTTTTTATATTTTGAGTTTGTTTATGTTGTTTTGTCTTTGTATTTTTAGGGGAAGTTAGGAGGTGATGTGGTGGTGGGTGTGTTTATTACTCCGTCAAAGGTCGCTCAGATGACATGATGGGAGTGGTGAACTCTTCCTTCTTTCCATTTTCTCTCCCCAGTACATCATCCACACAAACAAGAGCCGCTTAATGCGGTAATTACTTTTCCTTCTCTCTCTCTTCCTCTTATTTGTCATAAATATGGGTGTTAGTACCATTATCAGAGCCAGAAAGGTGTGGGATCGAAGGAATTTGTGTTGGTGTCCAGTCGCCTTCCTTCTCAGTATGCATGGACCATGGATATGGAGTGTAGTGGAATTGAAATGGATAGTATGGGTGATGCTCACGCCCTTGTTTTGGTACTGGTTACGTGTTTAAACCAGTCATTGACTGGCCTGGTTAGCTGGCCATGGTCAACGCCATAGGTTTTTCCATCAAGATAGGCAGTTCTGAGATTGTTTCCTCCTTCCTCAAGCGCTGACCAAGTCCATTTAGCCATAGCCATACGAAGATTAGCATTCATAGACTCAACTTGACAAATGACATGGTAAGGAAGCTACTCCGAAAAGATGATACTTTGACCCAAGAAGAAACATTGAAAATGATACTAATTAATATTGTTTGTTAAATTCACTAATTATATTTTAATTCTTTTTATTTTTTCAACGTCCAAATCAATTTATGTACACTTCGATTAATTCCTTCTTTGGTCAACTTACCCTGATTCGGTGTCTGGACCAATCCTAGACTAATCAACTTATGGGACTAATCCCCTCCCTAGGACTAATTACTTCCCTAGTTCAGTGTTCGAATCAACTTTTGCTCATTTTTACTAATCTCCCTCCCACTTTGATTAAAGACAGGTCATCCATTTATGAGAGATAAATATCTTATTTTTGACTCAGAAGATTGTCAAGTTTCGAACTCAATAAATCTAAACTTATAACTCATTAGATCTAAACTTATAACTCATTTATATTACCTCTGGAACTATAACCCTTCAACAATGCTTGTACTACACTAAAATCAATTGCGTAACTTATTTTAAGTAAAAAGTGCCCAAACGTGTATTGATATAATTGGTCAACAAAAAAATATCGATAATTATAACAATGTGAGTGAAATGGCTACTATATTTGTAGGTGCATTGTGAGAAACATGATATTTTAGAGGGGTAGTTTGAGATTAATAACATTAGTTGTAAGTATAATACAAAATATATGATTATTAAAAGAGGGTCAAAGTATAATTTATCACTCATTACGATAATTTGTTTTACTAGTGTAACAAAAAAGGTTTTGAGCCACTGTTTACTCATCATCAAATTATATCATTTGGATATAATTTAGGGACCTAATTGTTCGCATTGTTTGAATTGGCAATAGACCCCAATAACAATTCTATCATTATAATTGATTAGATTGATAAATTAAGTTTAGATAACATTGTATTAACGGATATTTGGTTAAATGATACTCCTTACCTTATAAAAATTTCATCTTTTTAAGGTCAACGGTCTATGTTCTTCTCCCCTTCTCCCCCTCTCCCCCCAAAAAAAAAAAGTGGCATTGCTCTTATTTATTGGCTTTATGTAACAGATCATAAAACAGGCCAGTCTCTCGACCCAAACGAATTAANAAGTGGCATTGCTCTTATTTATTGGCTTTATGTAACAGATCATAAAACAGGCCAGTCTCTCGACCCAAACGAATTAATTAAAGGGCTCATGGTCCTATCTGATAGGTGAACAGGCTGGCACATGATGGTCCATCCACCAAGGCCATGAGCTTTTTCCGGGCCCTAACTTCTCTCATTATACTACCTACTGCTATGAACTGTGTTACTATTGCAAATATAAAGACAGTGACCATAACAAGGTGGTTTTAACTGNTACTGCTATGAGCTGTGTTACTATTGCAAATATAAAGACAGTGACCATAACAAGGTGGTTTTAACTGCTCTGTTGTCTCTTAACAATTTGGAACATTATGAGTCTATATACCACTCCCTCTGTCTGTCTCCTAACTTAAATCCCTTGTTTCCTAGGTGTTATTTTTCTGATTACTGCAGTGACGAGCTTTCTCGAGAACTCTTTCTCCACAGCAGCATCTCGAAATCGAGTTTTATATCAGTTGTCCTTATGAAATCTGCCCCCTCACACTTTTAGATAAAAGGGACAGTTTTTGTTAGTAACTTCAAACTGCTGTGATTAATTCCCCCTAGTAAAAAGCAAAAAGGTTGGGATTTAAATATGCTAAACTTTATATATCAGGTGTTTCAAGGATAAAAAAGATGGGGGAGAGGAGGAGGAATGGGTAGGGATGATGAAAGAAGAAGAAGAAGAAAACCGAGGCAACTTTTTCCCATGAAAATCTCTGAGATGAATGTGAAGTTTGAACTGGATTCGACCAATTCAGCACAAGCTTCTATAAATGTTTGTTAGAAAGTCAATTTAATTTTGTCCAATGTGCAAGATAGGAACATTCCTGGTAATAGTCAAGAGCAAAGTATAACCCCCTGAAATAAGTCACTAAAAAGTTTTCAATACAGCTTAAGAACAACCAAAAAGAGCAGTATGCGTTGCGATGGAAGCTAAGAAAACCAGAAAGGAAAAGAATATCATAAAGGAGAGCCAAAGCTTCACTGCCACAGCTTGTGAAAAAAAGTACCTGCAACTTGGCCTACAAATACCCCAACCATGTACACCATCTTTGTCACCCCTAGCGATTAGCTTCATTCAAATTTGATATTTTAGGTTTTGAGTGGAAGACACATCTTTCAGTCCTTGGTGCCTATTTTTCTTCTTTTTTCCCAATGGCCAACACTAGTTTCAGATCAAATCATCATGACAAGCCATTTTGTGTTTTGTTGCTGTTGGGTCTTTTGCTGTTAATCCAGAAAGGTGGTGCATATGAGTTCAAGGTTGGGGGTTCTCAAGGATGGACTGTTCCTGCTGATGCCAATGCAAACAGCTACAATCAGTGGGCAGAAAGTAATAGATTTCAAATTGGAGACTCTCTACGTAAGTTAAATCCTTTTGTCATGTAGAAACACAGTTACAGTTATCCCATACCCACTGTACGAGTTTATCGCTTATAGATGTTTTATAAGCAATAGCCAGTCTTAACTCTATTTTGAAGAGTTTAGGTCTATTTGGTTTGTTTTATCAAAAACTGTTTTTCTGTTTTCAAAAATAATTTTTAAGAGAAAAGCTGTTTACACAACTGTTTTTAAAAACTGAGAACAAAAAGTGAATAGATTTAGAAAACAAGTTAGTATTATTTTTGTGTGTTTTTAAAAATAAACTTTTTTGGTATTTAGAAAACACCAACACCACCACCACCACCACCACGTCCAACACCACCACATTTCTATTTTTATTGTTTTATGGGTTACTGTCTAAACAAGTTTTACTGTTTTTATTATATAATCGACACAAAAAAAATTAATGCACACTTTTCTAAAACTTTTCTTAAAAATAATTTTCAAATACTATTTTTTAAGACGCAAACCAAACATGTCTAGTTTCCCCAAACAACTCAATAACATACCCCTTAAATGAATGAAATCAAACTGAAGTAACACATTTCAATTAGTTCTTCTGGTCATGTGACTACATTTACTGCTTTTCTGCAGTGTTTGTGTACCCAGCTGACAAAGACTCAGTGGTGAGGGTAACTAAGGAGGACTACACCAATTGCAACTCAGCAACACCACTTGATAAATTTACTGATGGCCACAGTGTGTTCAAGTTCGACCAATCTGGGCCTTACTATTTCATAAGTGGAGTTAAAGAGAACTGTCTTAAGAATGAAAAGTTGGTGGTGGTTGTGATGGCAGATAGAAACAACCGATCAAGCACAGAGGTTCCTCCATCTACAGCACCGGCAGGAGAGGAGGCTCCTTCGCCGCCTTCAGGATCGGTGGAGATAAACCCATCTCCATCTCCTTTTGGTGAGACACCTCCTCCTCCTCCTCCTCCTCCAAGTGGTGCTACTTCAATTTACATGGGGGTTATTGGCTGTGTTGGAACTTTCATTTCTTCCCTTGCTCTGGTTCTCTAAATTCAAGATGTGGATGAAGAACTTCATTGATTCAGTTTCTTTTGGTTGATTGTGTTTTGTTCTTTTTGATTTTCTCCCTCACCTTGATATACCAGTGGATTTAACAGGTCTTTAAGGGAAAGCTTGGTTGTTGATATTGATTGGTTTGATACAGCTGAGAAATAAAGTGATCATTGTACATAATTTGAGTTGGTGGTTGTCCTATATACAAACAAATACAATGCATATAATCAAATAAGTTGATTGTGTTTACAACAATTTGTTGTTTCCTTTTCAATGTCAATGAGAATTCAGCTATTTCTTAAGTTGATCCAAGTACACCCATTTTTTTTTTTTACCTCATAATCTTGCAGATGACTTATAGGTCAAACTTTTTTATTACAAATTGTTTAGTTTTGGGTTAACTATTTCTTCAAACTCAACAACTGACCATCGTAATTTGAACATGTTCCTTTTATGTACAAAGGTGACTAGATTTTAGAAAATGTGAGAAGGGATTAAACATAAGTCCTTTGAATTATCAAAGATCAGACTCAATCATTATATGTAAGTTATCTAAACATCTTATTAAACTAGAATTTGATCGATACAAACAACCATGAATTACATAGAAGTTAAATTTCTTAATAAAATTAAGAATGATATTAACTAAGTCTCACAACTAATTAAATAAGAGTGATTTTCTTGTGGACCTCCAATTAGTGAGAATTTAACTTCCAATTAGCCAATAATATTTTTTTTTTTGGAGATTTGAAAGACTGATAAAAAATTATGACTTTATCCAAAATTTGGGGTTAATTGCATTGAAAGTTTCTAAAATATGAGGATTGTTTTATTTCGGTTGCTAATGTTTCAATTATATCATTTTGATCCTTAAAGTATG